CCATGTTGGATTGATATTTATCTTGATGCAGAACCGTCAACACATACACACATTGACCTGCCCTTCAAACAGGATTCCAGCCATCTTAAGGCCACTTCTTGTTTATCCATAGCTCTTAGTATATCGTTGTGAACTAATGCTGTTTAAGTTGAATGACCTTTCTGATAGGCAGACTGGTACACTTCTGACAAATTGTGATCGGTGATGTGAGACTGTAATTGAAAGGAAACAACTTTCTCCAAGACGTTAGAGATGAACATCAAATTAGAAACTGGCCGAAAGTTTTTGAGGTCTGATGGATGAATGTTTGTTTTCTTTGGAACAGGTGGGATTATGGCCTTCTTGAATGAATCTGGAACACATCCACTTGAAAGTGATGTGTTAAGCAAATTACAGGTGGCAGTGATGATTGTGGATGAACAAGATTTGAACAGCCAGGATAACTGCTATATCACATACATGTACAAATGTAATAATGAATGTCCACACTGGTATAGTTACTAATTATTATGACGTCACACACATCACATGTGTCAATAAATGCAGATACTAATACCAGATATCCATCATCTATACTTGATGCAGCCAATAGTTTCAGTGACTCACATATTCATAGCAGCTTTCAACAATCTGGCGACTCCAAAGGGCACTGTCATGTTGATTGTTATCCAATCAGAACACAGAAAACAGGCAATGAATATGCATTGAGTTTAGAAGTATGTTTGTAGGACAGTGGTTTGAAGCTCAGTCTCATGAGTCATGAGGCAGGCATGGTGGTGAGACATGACATGTCATGCACACCGAGGCAAACATACATACACAGTGAGACATAATTCATTATAACTGACAACTTGTATATCATGACACCTGTCTCTATATATACTGACACCTGTCGTTAGCATCTTTTGACTGCCTTTTGATTTTGAGCATGGTAAGTTTAATGTAAACAGGTTCCATTGCCAAAGCATTGATGTGATGACATCTGTCCAGAACAGCTGGCGGACTAGGATATGACTAGATGTTGACCTGCCAAACATGAAAGTAGATTCTTCAAAAAGGAAACATGAATAAAGATACAACGATTCATTTCTGGAAGAGTTAGTGCACTGATGTATAAATATAATCAACTATGCTCCGATTAATAAGTGACACGGATATAACAGTATACTGACATGCCTGAATTAAAGCAATAAACAACTACTGTGTCTGTAAACACCAAAACACAAAACTCCCATAACACTCATAAATTATGGAATAAATAGGATCGGATTCTATCGCCCTACTCAGAATAAAGTTGGCATTATATTATGGCAGATACACCTTAGCGACCACAAGCAGCACTGTTTGATGAGTGCACTGCCACCTACAGACCACTAAGCAGCACTGTTTGATGAGTGCACTGCCACTTACAGACCATAAGCAGCACTGTTTGATGAGTGCACTGCCACTTACAGACCACAAGCAGCACTGTTTGATGAGTGCACTGCCACTTACAGACCATAAGCAGCACTGTTTGATGGAGTGCACTGCACTGACCACAAGCAGCACTGTTTGATGAGACTGCCACACTGTTTGATGAGTGCACTCCGCCACCAGACCATAAGCAGCACTGTTTGATGAGTGCACTGCCACTTACAGACCACAAGCAGCACTGTTTGATGAGTGCACTGCCACTTACAGACCACAAGCAGCACTGTTTGATGAGTGCACTGCCACTTACAGACCACAAGCAGCACTGTTTGATGAGTGCACTGCCACTTACAGACCACAAGCAGCACTGTTTGATGAGTGCACTGCCACCTACAGACCACAAGCAGCACTGTTTGATGAGTGCACTGCCACTTACAGACCACAAGCAGCACTGTTTGATGAGTGCACTGTACAGACCACAAAGCTGCACTGTTTGATGAGTGCACTTACAGACCACAAGCAGCACTGTTTGATGAGTGCACTGTACAGCACAAGCCAGCACTGTTTGACACTGCCACCTACAGACCACAAGCAGCACTGTTTGATGAGTGCACTGCCACTTACAGACCACAAGCAGCACTGTTTGATGAGTGCACTGCCACTTACAGACCACAAGCAGCACTGTTTGATGAGTGCACTGCCACTTACAGACCACAAGCAGCACTGTTTGATGAGTGCACTGCCACCTACAGACCACAAGCAGCACTGTTTGATGAGTGCACTGCCCTACAGACTTACAAGAGCACACAAGCAGCACTGTTTGATGAGTGCACTGCCACTTACAGACCATAAGCAGCACTGTTTGATGAGTGCACTGCCACCTACAGACCATAAGCAGCACTGTTTGATGAGTGCACTGCCACCTACAGACCACAAGCAGCACTGTTTGATGAGTGCACTGCCACCTACAGACAGCACAAGCCAGCACTGTTTGATGATGAGTGCTGCCGCCTACAGACCACAAGCAGCACTGTTTGATGAGTGCACTGCCACTTACAGACCACAAGCAGCACTGTTTGATGAGTGCACTGCCACCTACAGACCACAAGCAGCACTGTTTGATGAGTGCACTGCCACTTACAGACCACAAGCAGCACTGTTTGATGAGTGCACTGCCACTTACAGACCATAAGCAGCACTGTTTGATGAGTGCACTGCCACCTACAGACCACAAGCAGCACTGTTTGATGAGTGCACTGCCACTTACAGACCACAAGCAGCACTGTTTGATGAGTGCACTGCCACCTTACAGACCACAAGCAGCACTGTTTGATGAGTGCACTGCCACCTGCCACCAACAGACCACAAGCAGCACTGTTTGATGAGTGCACTGCCACTTACAGACCACAAGCAGCACTGTTTGATGAGTGCACTGCCACCTACAGACCACAAGCAGCACTGTTTGATGAGTGCACTGCCACCTACAGACCACAGAAGCAGCACTGTTTGATGAGTGCACTGCCACCTACAGACCACAAGCAGCACTGTTTGATGAGTGCACTGCCACTTACAGACCACAAGCAGCACTGTTTGATGAGTGCACTGCCACTTACAGACCACAAGCAGCACTGTTTGATGAGTGCACTGCCACCTACAGACCACAAGCAGCACTGTTTGATGAGTGCACTGCCACTGTTTACAGACCACAAGCAGCACTGTTTGATGAGTGCACTGCCACCTACAGACCATAAGCAGCACTGTTTGATGAGTGCACTGCCACTTACAGACCATAAGCAGCACTGTTTGATGAGTGCACTGCCACCTACAGACCATAAGCAGCACTGTTTGATGAGTGCACTGCCACCTACAGACCACAAGCAGCACTGTTTGATGAGTGCACTGCCACCTTACAGACCACAAGCAGCACTGTTTGATGAGTGCACTGCCACTTACAGACCACAAGCAGCACTGTTTGATGAGTGCACTGCCACCTACAGACCATAAGCAGCACTGTTTGATGAGTGCACTGCCACTTACAGACCACAAGCAGCAGCACTGTTTGATGAGTGCACTGCCACCTACAGACCACAAGCAGCACTGTTTGATGAGTGCACTGCCACCTACAGACCACAAGCAGCACTGTTTGATGAGTGCACTGCCACTTACAGACCACAAGCAGCACTGTTTGATGAGTGCACTGCCACTTACAGACCACAAGCAGCACTGTTTGATGAGTGCACTGCCACCTACAGACCACAGAAAGCAGCACTGTTTGATGAGTGCACTGCCACCTACAGACCACAAGCAGCACTGTTTGATGAGTGCACTGCCACTTACAGACCACAAGCAGCAACACTGTTTGATGAGTGCACTGCCACCTACAGACCACAAGCAGCACTGTTTTGAGTGCACTGCCACTTTACACTTAGAGACCACAAGCAGCACTGTTTGATGAGTGCACTGCCGCTACAGACCACTGTTTGAAGCACTGCACTGTTTGATGAGTGCACTGCCCACTTACAGACCACAAGCAGCACTGTTTGATGAGTGCACTGCCACTTACAGACCACAAGCAGCACTGTTTGATGAGTGCACTGCCACCTACAGACCACAAGCAGCACTGTTTGATGAGTGCACTGCCACCTACAGACCACAAGCAGCACTGTTTGATGAGTGCACTGCCACTTACAGACCACAAGCAGCACTGTTTGATGAGTGCACTGCCACCTACAGACCACAAGCAGCACTGTTTGATGTGTCACTTACAGACCACTAGCAGCACTGTTTGATGAGTGCACTGATAGTCCCAATAAAGTGATGATATTGGTACAGCTACAATGACTGTGATATGTTGAACCAGAAAAATGACAGCGAGGCAACCATCTGGCCAGGCGACTATTACTGGAAGGACTGCCTGTAGACACACTGGAGATATCTGCAGGTGAAGCACTTAAGATCAAAAGCTCTAAAGAGCAAGTTAAACATGGATATTTAAATACAATATACCATTATGACAACACAGGGAAACATATAAATAAGTGTATAATAAATGCAACACTTGACACAATTCTTCCACTAATCTCAGAGGCAAGTATGTAAATAAATACATAAAAATAAAGAGAAACATGTCTGAGCAGGTAATACATCCATGTGTACATCCATGTGTACATCTCATGACAAATCACAGCTAGACACAGGTGCGTGTATTCCGCCACCAAATCAGTGCATGTAAAATCGTTTCAACAACTGATGTGAGTATTTTATAAGTTTGAAAAATAAGATACATTGTACACAAGCCTAGATATCATTAAAATGCTTAATTGTCATGATCTTAGTTGAAAATCACAGAGCATGTAACAAATTGCAGAAAGTGTATTTCACTGTTACCATGGTTAAAAAGTAAACAACAGATTCCCTGTGAATTGCTATCTAGTATATAACCAGTGGGATGTATTGCTGATATATAGTGTACAACATATTCCCTATTAAGAAAATTACATCACACTCTGTTACTTCAATTGTTGTAACAAAGATATACTACAATGTTATACAATGTGCAATACAACTGATGCATTACATAGTCATACAATGTGCAGCCCATTCATTGTCAGTTATTGCTAATTTGATTTGCTCATATAACAAGCACAACGATGCTCCCCACAATCTACTATTGTCATCAGCAATGAGTACTCACGTCTTGTATTCATACAATGAAATGTACAAATCTGAAATAAATATACATATATTCCTGAGTATCAATTTCACAAATGTGATTTACTGCCTCTGAGTAGGAACATTTCATATATTTTCACATTTACAAAATCCCACATCATTAAGCAGGAAATGTGTGGACATGTCAGTTGTAGAGAGACTTCAAGGCCAGATCAGAAAAAAATGACTACGTAATCCTGACATAGGAATTATCTGATAACACATTTGGACATTTCTCAAGTCAAATCAATATTTCAAAAGATCTGTGGAAACAATCTCTGGAACTCTTATGTATGTATCCCTTACTGGCCCTGTTGGTTTATCACAGCAATACAAATCTTGCCAGTTAAACCGGTATTGTAAATATGGAACATATCATCAGGAGGTTTACCAAAATAGATATTTAGTATATTGCCATGTGGTTTTGATCCTTTTCTATTCTATTTTGTACCACGTTTCTAAGTTACATTCTTGCGATAACATGATAGGATTAAAACAACATTCGGTATGTATTGCACTGGAACAAATTTCTGATACTCTAAGAAGCTATGGTTGCATCTCTACATGGCAATATATCAAGAATGTTTCACTAATGTGACTAATCTTACTCTCAATCTTGGGCTGTCTGTACTTTTTAATGTTTCTCAGCTCCGATCTCAACTAGAATTTTTCATGTACTGTGCAACACACTTTAAAGTTTCGAATATTTGTTATAAGTGTTTACGAAAATATATTTTACCTCATTTTTACACTGGTCAAATATTTCTGCATTCTTACCAACATCCAAATTGCGGACAAGATAATTTTTCAACAGATTTGTTACTAAGCCCACTGAAATCCTAATAAATCCCTGTCAACTGACATAATCCCCTGATATCTTATGTCGTCCATTTCAGAGTGTAGTTCCTTGTTTAACACCCACTGTAAACGCTATGCAAAGTCTAAGCATGTCAGTCCATTAAGGAGAGTACAATGTGAGTCCAACAGAATAAATATTTGTAGATGATAATTTGAGAGACCATAAAAATATTTGAAAAAAACCCATGAGTGTACGAGAGGACACATATTAGTCCATGATATTCATTAAGGGTACAATGTGAGTCAGTGTGAGTTGTGAGTCTTTGAGAGTCAAAGTGATTCGTTAAAAGTACAATGTAAATCATTAAGAGTCTATGTGAGTCTACGAGATTCATTAAAAGTACAATGTGCATCAACAAGTGTTTGTGAAAGTCAATGAAAGTCCACGAGATTCACTATGAGTACAACGTGAGTCAATAAGAATAGAATGTTTGTAGATGAGAATATTTGTAAGACAATAAAAAAGTATTTGAGAGACCATGTGTGTCCATGAGAGTCAGTGAGAGACAATGAGGGTTCAAGTGTAACAGTGAGGCTATATAACATTCCTTAATATTCCTTGAGTCCTTGAGAGTCCATGCTTGTCAGTGGAGTACGTTAGAGACCATGTAAGTGACAGGAGTACTTGAGAGAACATGTGAGTCAGTGGATTAAATGTGAGTCCAAAGAGTGCAAGTGAGTACATGTGAGTCATCATGAGTCAGTAATGCTTGTCCTAGAAGGCACTGGAGGCTGTCTTTTCCCGGAACTGTAGGTAGTCGAGCAATTTGTTTGGTAGCGGCAGCTTCTCCGTGTCCTTGAGGGGCACTATCTGAAGGACTGTCCTGCGACACAGGTGTTGGAGGGAGGACTGGACTGGGGGCAGCTTGTACACAAACACCTTCCGCTTGTAGCTGCAGTTGCGCATCACAGCAATGCAAGTTTCACTCGGGGAGAATCGGGGAAACACCTGCAGATTGATGACCTCGGACACTGGCCAGTAACAACCACGAACATCAACCCTCATCAGAATATCAAGTTTGGGGTAACTGAGAACGGCAACAAAGTTGGTACTATATTCTCGGCTATGAATAGGATGTACGTAGCGAACAGCAATGAAATCCCCCGTTGGACTTGATCGTATCTGGTGAATGCTAGCAGAAATATTAAGATTTGGAACATGCTTCTCTAAAGACCAATCTGGAAGTTTCCTTATTTCAATGTCTTGATCAGCCCCGAGGATAACAAAGTCATCACCTAGTTTAGCGTTGTAAGTGAGGGCATGGGTTCTGAAGGCTGGGGGGACAGCGTCAACTACTGGGGCCTCTGAGGGACCTACGAACAGGGTGAGGTTCTGTATAACGTAGCTGTCAGGCAGAACAACAACCCGAGTCAAGTGGTCGGGTCGCAACATGATTCTCCGCTTGTTTGGAGATATGTAACACTCATACCAACGACGTGTATGATACATGATCACAAAATGGCCCACACATGTCTTCTGGTACAAATCTAGGATATAGAATTTTGCAATGGAGAAATGTCTATCACAGTTAATCTGGACTACAGCCAGGCCATTTCGGTAGCCCACCACACTGCACTCCTTGCGCGTACGATTATGTTGAGCATGACGAAACCAGTTGGGGTCCTCCATATCTGGAACAGGGACTCGCGGAACCTTCACAGACCCCACCCACCAGGCCAGTTTCTCCAGAATCACTATCTCGGATTTACTTTTCCAGCTCACAGAGAAGTATCTGCCCTCGGTTGTGTCTGGCTTCACGAGAATCCCACTGCGTCGGTGAGCTTCTCGCAGAGTGCTGAAGTCTGTCTTCCCTGTGAATCCACAAATCTTTCTGTGATGGCGAATCCATTTTCCAAAGGAACATGTGTGAAGCAGCTGGCCAGATTTGGCAGACAGAATTCTTTTGTGGAAATCTGCACTGCATTTGTCCTCATCCTTGTTGCCATGGTAACTGCCTCTCAGATGTAAGTTACCCATCTCCTTTCAGAAGATCCTTCAACATAAAAGTTAAAGAACACCATACCATCATGAACTATGTAATCACATTGTTATGTCTGATTGTAAATTTGAGAAAAAAGTATTTTCAAATATGTCCATAAACAACAGAGTGCAGACACAGGTCTTACAAGCCCTGCTGGAACACAACAGCTGGGTCATTTGATGAAAGTGGGGTAATATGTTGGAATTAACATAACATAAGCAAGTAAGAATTGTACTTCAGTTGTATCACTGTGTGTCAGCTTGATGTGGGAGAAACATAATTAGGCTGGACTGGAATTCAACCCAGCAGTAATAGGTTTCTGGCACACCTAAGGGACAAAACTCTGCAAAACAAAATGCAACACTTTAAAGAATCTGATATTAATGAGATACATTACATACATCTGACTGTGGTGCAGTAACTGAAACCAATCTGTCACTGTACATCTGACCTAATCCCATAGCTGTAGTATCAACATTCTGAGTGAGTGTTCTGTACAGAGCAATTCAGATTAAAATAATTTATCTTTTTACACCTTTGAAATTGTATCAAATGCATCCTCAGTCAACTTTGACCGCTAAATCTATATGAAGATGTCAGCTTTCTACAACAATTCTGCTATATTTCTTTACCACCTGGATTTGCAAACTTTGATCTAAGCAAAGAAAAACACAATACAGCTTTAATCTTTTGCATTTGAAACTCCATGATCATATTTGTTTTCCAGATACAAACATATTTTTCTCTGAATGGTTTCACTCACTCAGTCATACCAAGAATTTAGATGCCTCAACATTCACCTGACTCTCCCTCCAATGGAGATGCTGTCATATGTTCAAGTTGAGAGAATTAAAGGATGTGATTTAAATGAGAGTGATACAGTACATTAGTGAAATCATGAACTGACTGACATACGCTTTGCCAAGTTAAGCGGACATATGGTGTCAGTGCTGACCACAGCCATCTATTTGATAACCCAGTATATGCTTCTTACTGACATATGCAAATATATACTGAACATCATTGAAAACGCACCACTTATAAAAGTTCAGATTATGAAAAGCATGTGTAAGGAATTGTTATTTTTTGAGTGGATAATAACAGATGGACGACTGACAAAAACAACAACACAGAAAAGACGCTCATTCATTGAAATGTTCCACAGTCACAAAGGATCAAACACACATGGGGGTGATAAGGGGTCACGTAGAAAGCTGCCTCTAGGGAAAGGAGAGAGACTAATCATTCTCCATGCTGGTTGCTCCAGCAAAGGCTTTCTCCCAGGCTGCACAGATAACAGAGACTACCATTCCAAGATGAATGGTGCGGTTGTCCTCGATTGGGTTAAAAACAAGTTGGTACCAGCTCTCCTAGAGAAGTCTTTTATCGTAATGGACAATGCCCCATACCACAGACCCCGACAGTAAAGCCCCGACATCGAACAGTCGAAAAGGTGATATGATATCATGGCTCGACAAATTTCAGATCGCACGGCCTTCAAAGGCAACGAAGCCCCAGCTATATGAGATCATAAAAACCCACAAAGGTGAACCTTTCTACAAAGTTGACAGTTACATAAAAAGTAAGGGTCACGATATTCTGCGACTTCCACCCTATCACTGTGACCTTAACCCCATTGAAATGATATGGGGTATTGTCAAAGGAGATGTTGCCAGATCAAACACAACTTTTAGATTACGTGACGTAGAGGTTTTGGTTAAGGAATCCCTTAACAAAATCACGACTGAAACTTGGCAAAACTGTGTCAACAAGGTAGCTAACGACATTGAACAAGGTTACTGGTCTCGGGATGGCTTACAACAGGCAACTGTGGCACCACTTGTCATCCCTTTAAGTCGTGACTATGACACTACGACGGATGAGGAACCGACACGTCTCCCGGAATAGATTATGAGATGTCCCCTGCCATGACTGGCTGTTCCGTTTCTGCGGTTTCACCCCGCCGCGACAGATAACAACTTTTGCGTTTTCAATGATGATAGTTTCTTAAACAACTTTTTAGGTGGAGTCCGGAAAATTTTCAAATATAAGAAAGCTGTTGGGTATTAGTAAATGATAAACATGTGTACTATTTATATTTATGTGGCAATTTTGTACAATGATAAAATTTGCAATTCATCGGTCCGTTTCTGACTCAAACGGACTGTAGTGCACGTTGTCTTTCGTGAGGTGTTAACCTAGGCATCTCTGTCCTCGTTTCACAATCGTTAGTGAAGCAATGAGAATCGGTTCTCATACACCTGCTTTTAATGTCACAGTCAGTATGATTTCAGAATAAAATTCGTGCTTTTTTCATGGCGTGGCTTCATGTTGATGCATTTTGGATTTAAGAGTCATACTGTGGACAGGAATTTGTTTCTAAAGCATTTTTTCAACTGGACATGCCTTTCGACTTCATGTTAGTTATAGTCATTGATCATTGTCATGCTGAAATCCATCATGATGAAAATATGGACAATTTTAGACTGGTGCGTTTTCAATGATGTTCAGTATATTACATAGTACGTTCGTGTAATTTCACCAACAACAAGAGTGAATGAGTAGGGTTTTACACCGCTTTCAGCAATATTCCTGCATTATCATGGCGAGGGACGCCAGTGAGTGACTTTAATTTTATGCTGCACTCAGCAATATTCCAGCTATATATGGTGGCGGTCTGTAAATAATTGAGTCTGGACCAGACAATCTAGTGATCAACAGCATGAGCATTGATCTGCGCGATTGGGAAGCGATGACATGGATCAACCAAGTCAGCGAGCCTGACCATCCGATCCCGTTAGTCGACAAGAATGGGTTACTGAAGATCAATTCTAACCCGGACCTTCACAGGTAGCAGGGTGGGGGACACCAGAAATGACCAACAAATGGGCCACACTTGTCAATGTTTGGTGCTAAAATTAAACTAAAATAAGAGCTTTGTAACAGATATATAGAATAAATGTTCCAAAACAAGTCTTGTCATGTCGACTAAAGCTGTTAGCTGATCAAATGCTGATAGATGACGGCAAACATCACTGCCTGACATCATAAAGTGATGCATTCCTTCACGTATACTAGTTATCATTTTGCAAGTCTTTGTGCAACTTATCTTAGAAAAAACTAATTCCACAAGAATACATATATACAGTACAGTTATTTTAAAACCTTTGTCTTAATATCTGACAGTCGAGTGTGGTGTCCACCCGACTCCGGCAGTCTGGGTAGCCAGAGCCGCAGCAGGCTCCCGTTGTGAGAAGACAAAGGCTCTGCACTCAACAACAGCTGACGAACGATCGTGCGGCAACACAACTGAACCAAACACACAAGCTGTTCCGTGACACTAGCTCGGGGTGAGTTAATCTACGGAAAACACAACATTACAAAGAATTAAAAAAAAAATTATATGCAAAGAAAGAAAGCATCACGTACATCGTTCCATTAACCTGGTCTTTCCACAGGTGCCCGATGTAAACATCGCTTGGTTTCTACGAAATGTAGAATTGCATGATTTGGAAAAACGAATTGATACTATATGTTTCTTCACATTTTTATTTTCTGACAAAAATCTGCGTCAATATTGCTATATGTTTCTCACCAAATTTATATTGAGAACATTGTTATACAATGTTGAACCTGCAACTAACCTGAATCCAACGGGATAAGAGAAAATAGTGTAATAAGTTACAAATAATATTCCATTACTTCCACATATGTATCTTTGCGATTCTGTACTCTCGTTTCTCAGTGAAAGCATTATGAAGTCACACTGATATTTTTTTAAAGACAATACAACATGACGTCATCCCATTTTAGAATATTATTCCAGCTATATTTGACAGCTGTCTGCAAATACTCCTGACCATTTTGCAATTTTGTTCCTTGTATAACGTCGTACTCAGCAAAATTCCAGGCAAATGACGTGAATCTGTAAATAATCTGGACCAGATACTCCAGTGATCAGCGAGCCTGACCAAGCGATCCGGTAAGTCCCGTCGAACGACAATCAGGGGTTTTAACCCACACCTGAACTAATAGACGCAAATCTACACAGTAATTAATATACGTACGGCTATTTGCTGATGACACGTACTTCGCTCTATGTAGTAACAAACGATCCGAATGTGATGATGATTTTAAGAGGGGTCACCCATTTTGTTCTGGGGAGCTAGAGGGGTCAGCAATTTTGTACACATGTACTAGGGGGTTGGGGCAGCAATTTTGTATATAAAATTATGTTTAGAATTATGCTTAGAAAATATAGGAAAGGGAAGGGTCACTGATATTGTACCTGACATGCAGGGTGGTTGGGGTGGGGGGTCACTTACTTTGTACATCAATTTTAGGGGGGAGGGCATCCACATTGTACATGCTACCCCATAAAATATCATTATCTCCCATCATCATCTAATCATCGACCAGCTGACTAGCCTACATTCATTGTTGTCTTTTATTTCGTCGTAATAGAAGAAATGCGAACAGGACGACCTTGTTTCACCTTTCACTGTCTGAAGTATTCTCCCAGCCTGTTGACAACCCCACCCCCCTTTCAAAAACATTATGTCTTTTTTCATATTGAAGTCGGAGTTTTTAATGAACCCAATACCGGAAGTTGAAAACCATAACAAGACATGAATAAAAGTGGATATATTTAGGAACCATATTTTCATAAGTTTTCCCTGAAAACACCCCAATATTATAGTTTGCATTATTTGGATTAAAATCCTTTACAATCGTCGCTTATTCAGTGGTAAACGGTCTAAACTTTGCAATTTCAGTCTACACGTGATGTTATGGATTGTTCTGCCTTTGTAGCGTGAAAGATGGCCGACAATAATCGCATGGAGAAAGTTGACATGACGAAAGAATTCCAGAATCTGAGTCCCTCAGATAAACACTACTTGCGAAAATTAGAACGTGTCAACAAGGGAAGAGCGGTTAAATTAATGACAATGAGGAAGAGAAATGCATTTACAGGAATCTTGCTTGGAGTTGGCGTTCTGTCAATTTGTATCCTTCGAGTTAGCAAGCAGGGGGGGTTAGTTAATCGAGTGGGATAACAGCAATATTAGATATAGTCTGATGAATGGTTGGAATCTTGGAAGAACTACATTTGTCGCAACTTTTTTTTATTTGAATTAGAGTGATGATCAAACTCGTGTTAATAATAATAGCGCATATTTATAATGCTATCAGCTGTGTCCCTTGCTTGTCGTAAGAGGCGACAAACGGGATCGGGTGGTCAGGCTGGCTAACGTGGTTGACACATGTCATTGCATCCCAGTTGCGTAGATCGATGCTCATGTTGTTGATCGCTGGATTGTCTGGTTCAGACTCGATTATGTCTAGACCACCGTCGCTGGAATTTTGCCGAGTGCAGCATAACACTAACATCATTCACCCACTAAATGGCTCAGGCTGCCAACAGTGTCCCTCACTTCACACTTCTTACCAGCCTCGATCTCAGACCCTAAGTTGTGTCAGGGTAAGTTACAACCAACTCCATTCTTAGCCCTTGGATCCCCTTTCTGTTCAAGCACCCTTTGCTGTAATTAGGATCAGGTACCCCTTGCTGATGAAACACCCCTTTTTGAATCACAGGGCTATGATCTTGTTAGAAATTCCTGGTCAAGTTATCAGCCCCAACACACAGTGTGGTCCCTTTTGATCCTACAGTGTTGAATTTGGTGCCGTAAAAAGAGATTAATGGAGAAGATGGACATGGGGAAAGACAAGGTATAGAGTTGGGAGGAACCTACCCTATCCCTGACCCAGCTAACCCTTAGTATTGAAGTGGCAGATCCAGTTGACTAATTAGTGTCATAACCTTAGCCCAGTAATTCTGCAGCCCTGCCAAAACCTTGTGCACCAGATGCCTTAATGGAATATGCACACATCTAAAGACTCGCTGAAATTCTAACATAGAATAGTCCTATATCTGTCATGTATTTGTCGCTGACCTGTAATGTGAACCCTCCAGGGATCTTGTGAGCTGTCATGTTGTTTGTTTGCCCATCATCTGTACTTTAGTTTTATACTTCAGACATCTCCACAGAACATTCTACAGTGGACATGTGTGTGTATGTTATTTCATAATTTCATGAACATGAAAGGACAGGGGATGGCGATGGATTTGTCTTCTTGTTATTTTTTGTGTATTCTAGTTTTGCTCTGTTGTCTTTGATAAGCCATGCCCATCAAATTGCAAGTTGTTATGTTCTCATTTTGATAATCACATATTTTTGATTGGCATTCTAGAAGTTGAGAAGATGAAGAATGAGGACAATTTTATGGATATACAACTTCTTTATTCTGTATAGGCAATGTTTTGACATAGATTCTAATGTCACTTGCTTGACAACAACATTAGAATCTATGTTGAAACGTCGCCTATACAGAATAAAGAAGTTTTATATCCATAAAAATTGTCCTCATTCTTGATAATCACAGTTTGTGATACAGTGGAGGTAATATGTCAGTGAACTGTTAAATGCTGTCCTTAACCTTGAACCAGATGGTTACACCATGTATGCTGTGAGACAAGAGAAGTTCCTGGAAGGCTTTGACACTGTTCCTGAGGATGCAAAGAAGAATTCTTCATAAGAGGAATGGTGCTGTTGTTTTGTTATGTGGCTGACTGGCTGTCAGTGAAAGACATAATTTTTAGGATAAACTGATGGCAGAATCTACCCCAATATGAAATACAGATGAAACATCCCGCCACAGTTTGATGGACATGCCGTACCAATAAGAAGTCGACAGCCATTTGCTAGATGTAGTAGTGTATGTATGTGTGTGTGTGAGCTTGACCAGCACTGCTGTTGGTTGAGGCAGAGTCAAACATTCAGATAATGTACATAAACAGATTAAAATAAGAAATTATAAAGATTTTCACTTGTGTGTTGTAGTATTCCTGTATGGTGTAATCATACACTTTGTCACATTAACATACCAATCTCAATAGTAAGGTCGTTATCTGGCACTCATGGGTAACATGTTAAGCAGCAGTGTTCCATCAAGAATTGGCAACCCTGTCTCTGTGCTGCTTCCTATAAGCGATGATATTTTGATTTGTCACTACACAGAACTACAGGCTGTTCCATACCATCTTGCTGACAGATTCCTGATTTGGAACTCACCTGACAGTTGCCATAGTGTATAGGAATCATAATCCTAGAACTACAATGAGATTTGCCTCCTGAAACACTTTCCTTCAAAGATGTGTTCTGATATTTTTGATCATGCAACGTTTTGTGAACTTATGAGGTTGGAATCATTGAGAGGGTAATAGTATTTGTCTGCTATGGAGGATTAAATAACTTAATTTTAGCCCTGGTTCCAGCTCATTATTTATACATTATTTTGTATAATCTGATGTGCAAATGTAGTGTTCCCAGAAATTATCGGCAAATATCTACTTCATGTATATAAACTGTAGAAGCTTTACTTACATGAATATGTTGAGATAAGATTCTCTTACAGTCTAAGTGGCTTTTCAGTACTTTGTGAGACCACCTTGCACGACTGAACAAACAATACACTACCGATCAAAGTTTGTAGGAAACCATTTGACAGCATGTCCCAATATTCAAGCATTTCTTTCTTCATATTCTCAAAATTTATAAGTCATTTTTGGTTTATTCTGTCATTCATTAGTCCCCACATTCAAAGGGTTAAGATTTGGGCTGTAACTGGGCCAGTCTAAAACTTGAACATTTTCTTCCGACAACCAGTTTCGTATAGCCCACAGTGTGTATTGGGTCATTATCATGCTGGAAAATCCAATTGTCTTGATACAGTGTTCGGGCCTTTGGAAGGAGGTGATCATTTAAGATGTCAACCTAGTTCCTTCGTCAAATTTCCAGTGAAAATACACAACAGCGTCACTCCACGTGATGATATCCCACCCCACATGTGAAATTAGGGCTATGTTTTGGGCTATGATTACGCAATGCCATTTAGAAAGAGGTCAAATGTAACATATGTTATATTTGGGATTACAATTTCTTAGTGAAGTACAGATTCTAGTACTTTTGTTGGGTTGAGTCTCATCCGGGATTCGAACCCACATCCTCAGTGTCAGGCACCTAATTGCTTCCCATCACGATGGCTGAGCGGGTTAGGCGGCTGACTTTGTGTGCTGGCAATTAGGTGCCTGACACATTTCAATTTTCCCCGACTCACAATCTGACCAAGTCGCCTGGCGATCCATAGTACTGAACTTCCTTGGCCTCGCTGCCCCTGTCTTGTGTTCAATCCCAACTCAACGGTAGACAGAGGAATGTCATGTCTACCAGCTAACTCTTTTGCATTAGTCACACCCCTTTCAAAATCTCGTCATATGAGCGAAATATTCTCAAGCCACGATGTTAAACCCAATTCCACCACCACCTTTCCAAATCATCTAGAACAAGCTTTCTTCTCTCTTCTGCTGTCAAATCTGCGATGTCAACAAAGGAAGGTGTCTGCTTACACCAGGGGAGGTAACTCTTGATGCAGTTAGGTTCATTGTTAAGCCTTCAAGAGTTGCCTCCCATATTGAGTACCTTACTACATAATGTCACACCTATAAGAAAACTCTATTATCAGTATTATGAGATTTTCTCAATAATTTCTGGGAAAACAGGCACTTTGCTGAAGCATGTAAAGTGATATGCATACTTTTATCAGGGATCTGTTGAGAAGACAGAGTGGAACAGCCTGTAGTATTGCAGTACAAAGTCAAAATTAAGATGATTTTAGTGGACAGCACAGATATGTGGGTACCACAGCATTATTCCTTCAACTTTCTGTGTTTTGACAAAAAGTAAAGCATGAACAGTTTTGGACTAATTCCTATGCTGTTCAATCTTCCCATAAAAATAACATATATGATTTAAACATGTATCATTCTGTAACCTCTTATATCTTCCATGGGACCTGGGTCTTACTTTGCTCAGATGGGTGTTACAGGACTGTTGAATTCAGTCGTTGATAACCACCTCGATTTTACATGGAATTACTGAACGTGGCCAATTACATCTTCCAGTCACCATGGTAGACTGTGACTGTTTTCTTGTCAGGGACTGGTGGACAGGTAGATTGTGACTGTTTTCTTGTCAGGGACAGTGGGACAGGTAGATCAGTGACTGTTGTCTTCTTGTCAGGGACTGGTGGACAGGTAGATTGTGACTGTTGTCTTGTCAGGGACAGGTGGACAGGTAGACTGTGACTGTTGTCTTGTCAGGGACAGGTGGACAGGTAGATTGTGACTGTTGTCTTGTCAGGGACTAGTGGACAGGTAGACAGTGACTGTTGTCTTGTCAGGGACTGGTGGACAGGTAGACTGTGACTGTTGTCTTGTCAGGGACTGGTGGACAGGTAGACAGTGACTGTTGTCTTGTCAGGGACTAGTGGACAGGTAGACAGTGACTGTTGTCTTGTCAGGGACTGGTGGACAGGTAGATTGTGACTGTTGTCTTGTCAGGGACTGGTGGACAGGTAGATAGTGACTGTTGTCTTGTCAGGGACTGGTGGACAGGTAGACTGTGACTGTTGTCTTGTCAGGGACTGGTGGACAGGTAGACTGTGACTGTTGTCTTGTCAGGGACTGGTGGACAGGTAGACTGTGACTGTTGTCTTGTCAGGGACTGGTGGACAGGTAGACTGTGACTGTTGTCTTGTCAGGGACTGGTGGACAGGTAGCCTGTGACTGTTGTCTTGTCAGGGACTGGTGGACAGGTAGACTGTGACTGTTGTCTTGTCAGGGACTGGTGGACAGGTAGCCTGTGACTGTTGTCTTGTCAGGGACTGGTGGACAGGTAGACTGTGACTGTTGTCTTGTCAGGGACTGGTGGACAGGTAGACTGTGACTGTTGTCTTGTCAGGGACTGGTGGACAGGTAGATAGTGACTGTTGTCTTGTCAGGGACTGGTGGACAGGTAGACTGTGACTGTTGTCTTGTCAGGGACTGGTGGACAGGTAGATAGTGACTGTTGTCTTGTCAGGGACTGGTGGACAGGTAGACTGTGACTGTTGTCTTGTCAGGGACTGGTGGACAGGTAGCCTGTGACTGTTGTCTTGTCAGGGACTGGTGGACAGGTAGACTGTGACTGTTGTCTTGTCAGGGACTGGTGGACAGGTAGACTGTGACTGTTGTCTTGTCAGGGACTGGTGGACAGGTAGATAGTGACTGTTGTCTTGTCAGGGACTGGTGGACAGGTAGACATTGACTGTTGTCTTGTCAGGGACTGGTGGACAGGTAGACAGTGACATGTCTCGTCAGGGACTAGTGGACAGGTAAGACAGTGACTGTTGTCTTGTCAGGGACTGGTAGACAGTGACTGTTGTCTCGTCAGGGACTAGTGGACAGGTAGACAGTGACTGTTGTCTTGTCAGGGACTGGTGGGCAGGTAGACTGTGACTGTTGTCTTGTCAGGGACTGGTAGACAGTGACTGTTGTCTCGTCAGGGACTAGTGGACAGGTAGACAGTGACTGTTGTCTTGTCAGGGACTGGTGGACAGGTAGACTGTGACTGTTGTCTTGTCAGGGACTGGTGGACAGGTAGACTGTGACTGTTGTCTTGTCAGGGACTGGTAGACAGTGACTGTTGTCTTGTCAGGGACTGGTGGACAGGTAGACAGTGACTGTTGTCTTGTCAGGGACTGGTGGACAGGTACACTGTGACTGTTGTCTTGTTAAGGACAACAAACATACAAAGCCACCAAGATAGGACAAGGGATGGAATACTCCTTACTAGAAGAAATTTTAGTTGACAGTTTGGTTATTCTTCAGGCTAATATACTTCATGTACAAATGACATGCAGTTCCTGCTAATTTGACTGAGTAATTTAAAATATTCATACTTTTCATAAAAGTCATAGCTAATACAATATGTATTCAAATCGGCGTGTTGAATCAATTAACTCCACTAAATACAATAATCAATTTTAAGCTTTCTGACTTTACTGCAGTCAGCAAAACAATATGCTATGCTTTAACAGACTCTGTTATATTTAGAATAATGGAATTATTCATTGACAAAATATTTTCACAACTCACAAATTTAGGAAAAGATCACCCAAAACAATAGCTGTTGCTTTCCATGACTCCTATTTTCCAAAGTCTATGGGGGGCAGTAGGGTAGCCTAGTGGTTAAAGTGTTCTCTTGTCAAGCTGAAGACCAGAGTTTGATTCCCCACATGGGTACAGTGTGTGAAGCCCATTTATTTCTGGTGTATAAGCTAAAAGCGGCGTAAATGTAAACTCACTCATTCAAAGTCTGTGTAGAAGCCTGAGTGGCCAGACAGTTAGCAGACTTACACATGGAACCATTGGACTCCTTACAGCCCTTGAAGACCCGTGAAGATCCGGGGTAGAATAGGTCTTCAGCAACCCATGTGCTTGCCATAAAAAGCGACTATCTTGTCGTAAGAGGCGACTAACGGGATCGGGTGGTCAGTTTCGCTGACTTGGTTGACACATGTCATCGGTTCCCAATTGCACAGATCGATGCTCATGCTGTTGATCACTGGATTGTCTGGTCCAGACTCGATTATTTACAGACCGCCGCCATATAGCTGGAATATTGCTGAGTGCGGTGTAAAACTAAACTCACTCACTCACTCACAGCCCTTGAAACCTGTTACTGGATTCTTGAAGCTTCAACATGTACTCATTGAAGTAAAATAACAACATATCATATCATCCTTGCCATTGCACATGTAACATCCTCCTCAGTTTTATTGTTCACTTATATAGCTATATAGCTACAGATGAACACACAAACATATATTTCTTAACTCCACTACAGTATATATAGCAGTTTATTAGAATAGAGGATAAAAAGAATAAACTGAAATTTAAAATGTACACAGACTTGCCAATTTTGTTTTGACCAATCTGCACTACAATTAAATAAAAAAACACACAAATTTTATAACCATGTTCCATAAGAGTGAGCGAGTGAGTTTAGTTTTACGCCGCAGCCAGCAATATTCCAGCTATATGGTGGCGGTCTGTAAATAATCGAGTCTGGACCAGACAATCCAGTGATCAACAGCATGAGCATCGATCGGCGCAATTGGGAACCGATGACATGTAAAGTCAGCGAACCTGACCAACCGATCCTGTTAGTCGCCTCTTACGACAAGCATGGGTTACTGAAGATCAATATTCTAACCCAGACCATCATTTGTCTTGACCATAAGAAATATGGTGAACAGAGCACATGAAAATATTTACTTATACATATCCAATCACTGTTCACTGTTCAGTAACTTGTCATGTCAAAACTTGTTGGGTTTATATTCATCAGTAGCAGCACTAATCTGCCTGAATAACTTTTCTGATCCCCAACATTGAAAATCAGGTCAAGTCTTCAGGAATCCAACTAATGTCAAGAGAAATCCTCAAGATGAAAGACAGGTTGCCACATCTGAAATCGGCTCCATCAGCCTTGTTTATCTGGAGTTTGTAAAAAATGCTGTTATACCAGAGAAAAAGCAGGCATAGAAAAGAAACAGGTTGTAGATTGATGGAAAATGAAACTATGCCCCAAAAGATGAACACTGCATGGTTGCCAAGTATCAAAGAGGGAGGTTGGTTAAGGTCGTCTTTAGAATATTGAAAATGAGAAATTTCATTTTTAGAAAACTTTGAAATAATGTTCTAATGTGTTCTAATTACCAACATTTTTCTTTCCTACACGAGTATGTTTTGCAGTTCTGAAGTATAACTGACTGACTGAGTATGGTTTTACGCCGTTTTTAGCAATATTCCAGCAATATCACGACTGGGGACACCAGAAATGGGCTTCACACATTGTACCCATGTGGGGAATTGAACCCGGGGCCTTCGGCGTGATGAGCGAACGCTTTAACCACTAGGCTACCCCACCTCCCCTCTGAAGTATAACAAACTATATATGGCTACAAGACCGCCTCCGTGGTGTAGTGGTTAGAGCGTCCGCCCGGAGAGCGGAAGGTCGCGGGTTCGATCCCCGACCGCGTCATACCAAAAGACGTTAAAATACGGTACTTGTTGGTCCCTGCCTGGTGCTCGGCATTAATGGGTACAACAAGGACTGGTCGGCTCGGAGTCAGTATAATGTGTCTGAGTGGGGTATTCATGCTTCACTGCGGCATGGTATCTCAGTGGGCTAGCACTATAAAACCAGCTTAAGTCTGGGCTAGTACAAGCAGCCGCACATACACATACACACCCATGCACGTCGTCATATGAGCGAAATATTCTCAAGCACGACGTTAAACCCAATTTCACCTCACCTCACCTATGGCTACAAAGATTGAAACAGGATGGGTTTATCAAACTTTGATCGAAAAAGTCCTGCTCATATCCAAATAATAGAAACAACCCTTGTCATAAAAACACCAAATATGACAGTTTTGCTTGCTATGTACTTAGTGATGTTAGAAGTCCAAAACATTTAATGACTGAAAGACGACATATGTTGTATAGTGGGCACAGTAAAGGTCTTTGTTTCCATGCCTGTTTTTGTCATCAGATGGTGTTTGCCGACGACATGCCAGGTGCTTGATTTGATGGCTGTGGTTAAAATGCTCCCCACTATCAGCACTTACAAGATAACACAAGGATTGATGAGCTCGGAGTGTTCTATGTCTGAGCAAGACATTCATGTTTCACCGTGGCTCGGTATCTTTTAACTATGACATTAGAGCTTTGCCCTCAACAAACATCATAAGTTGAGTCAACTTGGAACACACTCATTCCCAGAATTCATGAGCTTGCAACTGTAGTTGCCATTCAGGATATCTATTTGAAAGCTGACAAACTACTGGTGTATATGGCCACAGGTTGGAATCCCAGTCTAAGTTCTTTCGAATTTGTGGGTATGTTTTCTGATAGGTGTGAGGTGAAATGGGGTTTAACGTTGCACTTTAGAATATTTCGCTCATATGACAAAGTGCATATGTGTGGCTGTTGTACTATTCCAGACTTAAGCAGGTTAATCTAGCGGATATATTACTGTAATGTTGCGTAACAATTCCTTTCAAATGTCACCATTTCAACATCATTTAGGTCACTTTTTTTCCCCAATCAGATATTGTCCTGTCAACAAAGGATGTGTATTTGGATGTTATTTCTCGTACATATTTCAAGTTGGGACTTGTCATGTTTTGAGTCTTCAAGGGAATATTTGGCCCCTTTCTTTGCAAAGAGTCGATGACAACTAAAGTTGTCATACTTGTTGCCACAGATTAAGAAACGTTTCTTTAACAATCCCTAAACAGACATCAAAGTGTTAACAGCATGGTCTGTGTGTTCAAAGTGCCATGATACAATACCAAGTAAATTCAGATAAAATCTTCCCACTGCTACCAGGAAATGTCTTAACATCTACTGCAGCCATACAAGAAATTGACAGATGGACTTGCTTCTTCAGGATCCCACTCCCAACAGTTGCTGTAAAGCAATCCACAACTTTGAACATTAAACCCATAGTGTTCATTCACTCATTAGTCATATCCTGGTACTGCTTGGCCATCAAACACTGAGGTTAAGATGACTTCTAATAATGCTATGTGAACCCTAACTTCAAGATCAAGTAAGAAACAAACTATTTAATTTAGCTTTTATTTAGATCACAGACAAAAATGAAATGTAAATGATGATGATAGATACATGTGTTCAGTCTTCACAGAATTGATCATTGACAATGAAACTTCTCACTGATGCTGATGAAACCTGAGAATGTCTAATGTCCAAAATTGTTCTTAACTGAAAGGAAGGTTCATTCCTTCTCATTAGATGTGCATGAAGAAGCGACTAGACAACTTCTATAGTCAGTGTCCGATGAATGAGGTCATGTGGTGGTAAGTTGCTCTAGTCATGCACATTAAATGGATGTTGGAGGTGTTTAATCAACCTCCTCGATGGTTGGGCCTCCGGAGCTGCCGCCTGTCTGAGCTCCTCCTGCTCCGCCAGCGCCAGCAGCACCTGGGTTGAAGTTGGGCATACCGCCAGCACCTCCAGCTTCCTGGTACAGCTTGGTGATGATTGGGTTACACACACCCTCCAACTCCTTCTGCTTGTGTTCAAACTCATCCTTCTCGGCCAGTTGGTTAGAGTCTAACCAGCTGATAACATCGTTACACTTGTCAGTGATGGTCTTCTTATCATCTTCACTGATCTTGTCCTTCAGTTTCTCATCCTCTACAGTTGACTTCATGTTGAAAGCATAGCTTTCCAGACCATTCTTGGCCTGGATACGATCTTTCTGCTTCTCATCCTCAGCCTTGTAGTTCTCGGCCTCATTAACCATACGCTCAATCTCTTCCTTCGACAAGCGACCTGAAGAAAAATTCAAATTTTCATAAGTCCACTTTAAAAATATTAACCTGACAAGCTATCTAGAAAACATTATATGAACAGTTCATGAAGCTTAAATGTCAATGTAAAAAGAACAAACCGAAACTAGATTTTGATACATCAAAAATACCCCAACAAGGCTTGCTTTTTGCACACACCTTTGTCGTTTGTGATGGTGATCTTGTTCTCCTTCATGGTGCTCTTGTCCACAGCAGACACATTGAGGATACCGTTTGCATCAATGTCAAAGGTTACTTCAATCTGTGGAACACCTCTAGGTGCTGGTGGAATTCCTGTCAGCTCGAACTTGCCCAAGATGTTGTTGTCCTTAGTCATGGCTCTCTCACCCTCAAATACCTGGAAGGAGGATTGTTGTGCAGTAAGTAAAAATGGATGGTAGTCAGCTCCTTAGATGATTCTTGAAAGTTCATAAAATACCATGCAAACTGTCTGCATTAATATAGTGTCTTGAGTAACATACCTGAATCAGTACACCAGGTTGATTGTCCGAGTATGTTGTGAAGGTCTGGGTCTGTTTGGTGGGGATGGTTGTGTTCCTCTTGATGAGGACAGTCATCACACCACCAGCAGTCTCGATACCAAGTGATAGTGGAGTGACATCCAGCAGTAGCAGGTCCTGGACTTCCTCGGACTTGTCACCATGGAGGATAGCTGCCTGGACGGCAGCACCATAAGCAACAGCCTCATCAGGGTTGATGCTCTTGCATAGCTCCTTGCCGTTGAAGAAGTCCTGGAGGAGTTTCTGGATCTTGGGGATACGTGTAGATCCTCCAACCAGCACTATGTCATGGATGGAGACCTTGTCGGCTTTGGCATCACGCATAAAGCTTTCTCCACTGGCTCCAGTGTGCCACGGAAAAGATCTGCATTGAGCTCCTCAAACCTGCAACACAAATGTAATATTTATGACTATGATACAAACTTACCATCTTCAATTCATGAACGAATGTCAAAATCATACGATCATTCAATCCCAAGCATGCTTAACTTATTCTGTACAGAAATGCTAGACAAGTGCGAGTTTCATGTGGAAACTGCATACCTGGCTCTGGTGATGCTGGTGTAGTAATCTACTCCCTCGAACAGGGAGTCGATCTCGATGCTAGCCTGGGTGCTGGAGGAAAGTGTCCTCTTTGCTCTCTCGCAGGCAGTTCTCAGACGTCTCACAGCCCTCTTGTTATCAGAGATATCCTTCTTGTGTTTCCTTTTGAACTCCTGGATAAAGTGGTTCACCATACGATTGTCGAAGTCCTCACCACCCAAGTGGGTGTCTCCAGCTGTAGATTTCACCTCAAAAATACCATCTTCGATTGTCAGGATAGACACATCAAATGTACCACCGCCAAGATCAAAGATGAGAACGTTGCGCTCACCACCAACCTGTAACAAATCACAGACCCAATGAGCATGTTACATCTCAAAACAGTTTCATAGACAAGGATCGGTGTATTGACTCAAATTGAAGTTGAAAACCTGATGTAATACAAGATGAGGGGAGGTGAAATGGGGTTTAACGATGTATCTAAGAATATTTCATTCATATGACAATGTGCATGCAAGTGTATGTGTGATTGCTTGTACTAGCCCAGACTTAAGCATGTTATATAGTGCAAGGTCACTGAGAGACCACGCCACAGTGAAGCATGAATGCTCCACTCAGACACATTATACAGACCAGTCCTTGTACTCATCAATGCCGCGCGCCAGACATGGACCAACAAGTACACAATTTTTATTTATTTTGGTATGACGTGGCTGGGGATCGAACCCGCAACCTTCCACTCTCCGGGCGGAGGCTCTAACCAGTAAAACATGGAGGTGGTCTGATGTAATACAAAGATGTTGATGGCGACTCATGTAAAACTTATTGTGGACCACTGCTCATAAATACAATGCCAAAACTCACCTTCTTGTCAAGACCATATGCAATAGCTGCGGCAGTTGGTTCATTGATGATACGTAAAACGTTGAGACCAGAGATTGTCCCTGCATCTTTAGTGGCCTGTCGTTGAGAGTCGTTGAAGTAAGCTGGGACTGTTACAACAGCATCTGTTATAGTCTGGAAAAAAAGTACCAAAATCACAATTTGCCATTTTCATATATTGAGAGGGCAGATAACATTTCATATTTTGTAAAAACTCAACCGCTGTCCTTATCAGGATATATGGGTAGGATTAAGGATCAGAAATTCATTTCAGTTGATGTGGATGTATGTGGCAAAATTACCTTTCCCAGATACTGTTCTGCGGTTTCCTTCATCTTTGTTAACACCATGGAGGAAATCTCTTCAGGGTAGAAAGTTTTGGGTTCATCTTTGTAATTTACTTGGATCTTGGGTTTGCCTCCATCACTCAACACATTAAATGGCCAGTGCTTCATGTCCGATTGAACATTTGCCTCATCAAATCTTCTACCAATTAAACGTTTGGCATCTGGAAAAAGACAATCACTTATAAAGAAATGTTTAAAAATAATTGAAGATAAATATAAATCCTGACTGAATTGAGTTTCCTCAAAAATGTAAAGTATAGTTGCGGACAACAAAATGTTCTTTAATAGGAAAGTCTTACCGAAGATAGTGTTCTCTGGGTTCATGGCAACCTGGTTCTTTGCAGCATCACCAATGAGACGTTCTGTGTCGGTGAAGGCAACATAGCTGGGTGTTGTTCTGTTACCTTGGTCATTGGCTATGATTTCTACCTTTCCGTGTTGAAACACGCCTACACATGAGTAGGTGGTCCCCAGATCTATACCAATAGCTGGTGCCTTTGCCATGGTCCTAGTAAATGGAAAATAGATTACATCAAGTCACGTTTATCTTTAGACTTCCGCTTAGACTAAGCGGGAACCTTCTAGAACCTACTTTCATTTTGAAATTTTGAACAATTTCCTGGTCTCTGGAAGAGCTACTCCGCGTTTGGGGTCTTTCTCGAGAGGCACACATTTAACAAATGGGTATTAGCTATTCATTTTCAACACTACAATCGACTCCTCATTATGCCGAAACACCCGACCACGTGACAAGTTGAACACGCCCCGTCACGTTTCGTTTGAAATTATTACCGATCAAAATCATCGGTTCACGGGAGTGTTTTTTGTAAGTTAAGAAATGGTTTCAGTATTATTTCGCTACAACCCAGTATATTACAATATTAACCTGTCTGAAACGAAATGGAAGCAGAAAGAAAAAAATCGATCAGGAATCTTTTGTGTTCACCTGTTCACATTCATATTCAAAGTAAAACGATAGAAAACCAATACAATCTACCGTGATACTGATTGCAATTTCAGTTTTAACACTTTGAAAGTTTAACTATCGAGATCGGACCTAAACACACATATTTCAATCCCCTAAAGAGAAATCGCCATGTTTCAGTCACAACCACGTGTCGGGCTCGGGGCCGGTATTCATGAATGAAAAACGCAATTCAGACTTCCACGGTAGATCTTTTGTATTTAGAAACACATTTCAACACCAGAACCTTTTAGTTACATACCTTGAGTAAGTTTGTCTGTGAGAGTGTTTAAAGGAAGCACGAATGTCTTCTCCGTCCACCGCTTCCAACTCGATGACCCTGCGTTACTACCGGCTTTTGGCGTGGTGCGGCTTATATATTATTGCGGATGTGACGTCATTTAGAACGTTCGAGAAACCCAGAACAGTCTTCTCAGTCGATGGATGTAATTGGTTGAAAGTAAGACACGCAGTGATTGGCTATTCAATATGAAGGCGATTCACGTTCGGCTGGTTGTCACAGTCACTGAACCGCATTATTTTCCCTTTTGCCCAGCCCTTTCTCCCGTGCTAAAGCTCAACTTAAAGCAGGACTAGATTTCCCAAGGTTCACTTTCTGTTCAAGTTGTGAATCTCTCATCATACTGGGGCTCTTTTCAATTTAAATCGACTTATTTGTTGCTGTCAATATTATCGATATTCAGAGCCTAAGCGTTAGTCAAGCTACTGGAAATGTACAACTCGTTGTTATGCTTGGTTGGAGTCACTAAGGAACATTCAAACATTTTCCAAAATAATTATGATAAAGCGAAAAGGTTTAGAGTGAAACACATAATGCAGTGATAACTACTTTGTTGGAAAGGGAAGTTCTCTAATACACTAGTAAAGAAACATTAATGAAAATATAGTCCATGTATGTACCAGTAGTGATCCTATATTGATGTCGACGTAAATTAGCTACTGAATTAATGGGTACTGATGCTTTCCGATTTCGGTGATGTCGATCTTAAGGATATATTTTTATTTCAAATGAAAGGCCAGGTTTTACACGCATTTGATTATGTAAGGCAAACTATTTACATATTAAAGTCATACTATATCTCAAAGTTTAGAAACGGATTTGCTTTGAATATACAGATTATCATTCTTAGTCATATATGTGAAACAGCATATAGAAGACACTGGCTAAGAAAGGAGAGAGTTGTCAAGGAAAGGAACAGAACGGTAATAGTAACAGTAGATCTAGAGGCGCATCCAGGAATTTTCAAAGGGGTAGGGGTGTTCAGGGGGTTCGAACCTACTGAACACCTTCTCGACTCCGCCAATGCAAAACATTAACTTCAATGTGGTCCCTTAAGTCATTTTCGGGGTGGGGGGGGGTGGGGGGGTTGTTGGGTTCGAACCCCCTGAACCCCCCTCTGGATCCGCCAATGATATTATAGTAAAACGTTACTTATGGTGCTGCCTATACTGGGTGATATATACGTCTGCGAAACACGCCTAATAACGACGTAATTGATGCACATAACAGCATTTGGAACTAAACAAAACTATGCGCTTCACAATATTCATACTCATTAGGGAAAGTCAGAGATTTGGAGGAGTCATAAATGAAATATATTTCTAGATCGATCTCTTTGTGTGCGTGTGTGTGTCGTTCACATATGCTGATTAACCAATCAATTTGAAACATGGGATATGATTCACAATGATTATATGTAACCCGTTACTGTATATTTTAAATGTGTGTTCACTGACATGGAACGTCATTCCCCAGGTGATGCTGATATCCGAACTGGTCCTGTGACTACTGTGAAACACGTGCGTTGCTTCACCAACATATAATTTTATCCTCGGGCAATCCTAGTTCAACCGGCCTTTGTCTGATTTCCCGCCATTTCTATTTTTAGAACAGGTCAAAGTCTGAGTATAGTAGGGTAACGAATAATACTGAGGCTAAGTTTACTTAGACTGAGCATGAACATTCAGCCAAGACTTTCTTGACATTATCGTCACAATATTTGCGCATACTATACAGAATTCCACTTTTGCAAATCTCATCATCGCTCGCTTCTCTCCGGAGCTGCTACCGGAATGACCCGAATGATAGAGAATGCGTCGTTATCTTTTCCGTCCATAGCCGATGATATGTATGCATTAATCAGTAACTCGTGACTTCAGAATGACTTTTGATATTGCATTTATGAAAGTCATGCAGGGGCGCATCCAGGTGTTATAGTGATACATACAAAAGTGGTAGAAAGTGATGTGCATATGATTGTCACTAAAAACACCCAGGAAAAATATCAATAAGAGAAATGTTCAATAGTTATTCTCCTGAGTAACGACCGATCGTCTCCAGATTGATTTAATTAGGGGTTTTCTACATGTACACAGGCTCAGTCCCCAGCTAATCCATTCCCATGAACAATAAGTCATAAAGCATGACGTAATGTTTGTCAATAGGGACATTAGCCTTCCTTTGAATATTTAATTAATGAATTCATTAATTAGGAGTCAGATTGCTCTAATAAGCGCCGAGTCAGTGGGCGGTCATAACACTCCACATTCATAAGTCTAATCTGGATGCATTTAGTTTGCAAGTACCATTTTCTGAATGCTTATTAACGACAAGTGATCTGTCGCGTAGCAACAACGACTAAATCCCTATACAGAAACGTGACTGTGTTAATTGCATATTCACGTGGCACTATATATATCATGGATATTGTTCACTTGCGAACCTGTTGCATGACTTGCATATAAAGTGCCTTGTGTATTTTCAGGCAATATAGTTAGAAAGAGGCGGTATATTATCGGAAGGTATAGCTATTTATGAATTTCAAACTAACTTAAGAGGCATTCTTCAAATATATTCTCGAAGACAATCCGAATAAAGGATGCTGCATTGTGAGGTATTTCAATAGTTGGTATGCATGGTGTGTAGGTACTTACATAAGATTATGCGAGCACTTGGGCCTCAGATATATTCACTGATAACCGTCGACGTAATAATATACTCGACATGGACCGGTCTGCCTGTGCATTCACACATTACATCATGACTGCATGCTGATCCGTAGTCGGATTGCCCGCAAGGGATGGTAGTTCAGCGACAGTTAATGTTCCCCGAAGTCATCTTTAGACATTTCGTGCAAATATGTCTGTTATTTTAACCAATCAATTTCGATCTTTTGCAGACCATATTCACGTGGCTGTGAATTTTGGGAACTAATATACTAGGTATTTCAGCGAGTCGTGGCGTAAAAAATAAAGCTGCCAGAAAAGGAAGCAAGTATGTTAGGCTGACATTTCCTTGGTGATGGCATACAGAGAGACAAATTATACATTCAGTCTCGAGACCGATTAGCTTTTTGTCTGCTCTGAAAATGTGTCTTTTTCCAATTCTACATTAAAAATCTGTTTGGCCAACCAGCGCAAATACATTCAAACTTTGTTTGAGAAACACGTGAATTTATAGATTGAAATTAAAGCACTTGAACTGTTTGTTGCTATGAAAGACCATTTTCAATACCACAACTGGGTTCGATTTATCGATGTAAAATTATTTCAAATTAATATTATAGAAGCGGGCAGATATTATAGAATTCCACGAAATGAACGTGTTTGCCCTTTTTGTATTATACCAGTTGTCGAGGATGAATTTCACTTTTGCCTCGCGTGCCCATTTTACCTTGATCTGCGATTCAATCTCTTCCCTCAATATTATCACATGTTCCCAACTCGCGAGAAAATGGTCTTGTTATTTTGCTCCACTAATCGAATCATATGCAAGAATCTGGCAAAATATATATTTCTTGCTGCTTAGAAACGTGATTCCTTTTTCAAAGGGATATCTTATTTACACTAATGTTTTCAATGTACGTGTATTATATACAGCGCTCATGTTACAATTGTACTTATCATACCATGTACCTGTATAATGGGCCGATTGCCCCTTTACCGGAATAAAAGCAACTATATAGATTGTCAGACTTAGGTCCCCAAGGGATGAATGTTACGGAATATTACTTGATAATGAACATTCTAGGAAATTTAACCTATTTTCAAAACAAGGTACAACTCATCTTGTCGCATGAACAAAAATAAATGTTCATGTGTTTTCATATCCGTTTAACTGCAGTTCAAAGCTAATTAACTAATCAAAATCCAATCATGAATAATCGAACTTTGTCTGTATGGTGTAGTTTCAGAAAGTCATCTCCAACAAATATATATCTACAAACTAAAATATTGATATCTTGATATTTCACCCTTTCAGTATCATGAGTGTCATACACATTATTGCTTGAGACATGGTCAAAATTCACACACATACTGGTGAGTTTGTTTCAGCTGTTACACGTACGTTCACTTAAAACGTAATGTATGGTACCGATATGTCCATGGGACACTGAATATACAATAACACATCATCACATCTACTGTAATTGTATCCCATCACTATTGCCACTATTAGATACGGAGATAAAGTATGCAAAACATATTCAAAGATATTCATTGTACATGGTGATTTGTGAAAGTGTAATGAGTATACTGATGTGAATTTATTCAACATACATGTGCTCAACTGTATATTTCACTGTGGAAGTAAAGATGGTAAAAAAACCCACAAATATCAGCGCCTTGAGCAAGCACTAGTTGCCTGGATATGTGCGCTATATAAGTATCCTATAATAAAATAACAAAAAACCCACAAAAACATCAAACTTGAAATCTTATTAAAACATGATAATGTCAAGCGTATCCAAGTCAATGTTCGCCGACACTAGCTACTGAATATTCATTATATTATATATGCATGACCTCTGTGTCGGCAACCGCGGGAGAACTTGTACCATGTGACCAAATTTCGCGGGAAACAAGCTTTGTGTATCCCTCGCCTGAAAGAAGTACTGACAAATAGCCATGGATGTCGCTGATCAGGTTGTTAGGACTAACCAAGTAAAAGATCAAGTTGGAGAGAGATGTCAAAAGTTATTTCAGGACTTTTTAGAAGAGTGAGTAAGACCTGAAGTTGTTTTGCATACCTAAACACCCGCGTTTTGCTAACGAATGTTGACACATTACTGATGTCGTCAATCTCGACTTGATCTATTATGTGTGCATCGCCAGCTGAGCACTTCATAATTGTGTCGGAGATTGAAGTTGTGGGTAGATATTACAGCTATACACAGAATTTGTCGGAGATTGAAGTTGTGGGTAGATATTACAGCTGTACACAGAATTTGTGTCTGATGTCTGGAGGACGTGTGCATCTCCATGTAGTCTTCAATTCATTGAAGGAACGACCTGTTGAAACCGAAATGTTAAAGCCTACTTAGATCACGCATGACTAACTGAGAGCATCCATCTAATATATTCTGAAAAATTATACATTTAGATATGGAATAAATATTTAAACAGTTGAAAAGTGCGTGAAGAATTCAACAGCTGCATGTGGTGACGGCAGATATGTGGATCCGAGCATGAACATGGCTGATCTCTTGATGAAAAAGAATATTGAGTGACATCTCCTTTTTACGAACACCACTGTGTTAATATTAGTAACCTTAAATGTATTGTTCATAGAACATGGAATAGAATCATAATTGTGTGGGTAATGCTTGATGTGATAAACTTTAGGTATGTTGCTTGCTGTTCGACAACACTGTAAATGCTGTAAGGCTTCTTATGAAGCACAAAACTTCATACAGGTCAGGGGGCGGTGGGGTAGCCTAGTGGTTAAAGCATTCGCTCGTCGCCCGGAAGATTCAGGTTCAATTCCCCACATGGGTACAATGTGTGAAGCCCATTTCTGGTGTCCCCTGCTGTGATATTGCTGGAATATTGCTGAAAGGGGCGTAAAACATACTCACTACTCGTGTTGTGTCATTTCCGACAACTGACACTTGGAACAAATATGTGTCGCCATCTATATTATAAGTTGTTCACTGGTCACGAGGGGGGCATGGGTTGATGTACCCTCGATGGTTATGTTCCCTGAGCCCGAAGGGGAACATAAACAAACATCGAGGGTACATTAACCCATGGGCCCCGAGGGACCAGTGAACAACGTATTTATCTTACCGAACACCATAATTTAATTTTGAATTGTTTGAAGCACGGGTACAAATCTTTTTGTAGCCATCGCTAGATTTTGCTGACAAGAAAAACAGATTTAGAGTTATCTCCCTTCCATCGATTTGCATTCGCAAAACATCGGTAATGTCCGTACATCATACGTGATTCAATGTTATTCGAGATAAAGAATTACTACCACGAAGTACCAAATGAGTTGCCATTGACAGCGGGGTACATTGAAATGTTACTCACTTGTAAGCGGGGTACATTGAAAATAATAGAAGAGTGCACAGCCAATCAGAAAGCGACATTTATGTGTGAGGTAAGATAATGATGGATCTCCATCACATGAGTTCTGGGACGGTGGGGTAGCCTAGTGATTGAAGCATTCTCTCGTCACGCCAAAGGCCCGGGTTCGGTTCCCCACATGGGTACATTGTGTGAAGCCCATTTCTGGTGTCCCCGGCCATGATATTGCTGGATAATTGCTAAAAGCGGCATAAAACTAAACTCACTCACATAAGTTCTTGATTTAATTAGCAACACTGCAGAAAAAAGTCAGTCTGTTGACGAATGATGATATTTGTTCATGTGATTCTTAGGTTTGCTGTTGATGGTGAGGCAAAGTACCTGCCTGAAGTACAAGAACTGATCCGCCCTGAGCGCAACACACTCACTGTCAACTTCGAGGATGTGGAGCGGTACAACCAACAGCTGGCGACCACCGTTCTGGAGGAGTACTACAGGTAGGAGGGAGATGGTGCTGCAGGCATATACAGTTGACCACCGTTGTCATGGGACCATGAAAAAATACTGAACTTCGAGACATCCGACCAGGGCATATCATCACATATCATTTAGAAACAACTCAACAATCACATGCTACTCACGTGATTACACAAATCCCTCATTGGATTCTCAGTATGTTTTGATTTGAAACTATGATCCGTTATCATTAGTGTTTAGTCTTAACAGTGTGTACTTCCTAATAAATTCCTTCTTAATTAATCCTAATTAAATAACAAACAAGTGACACCTTCAACTCTATTAGCCCTAATTAGTTTACACTACCGCATCCCTTTGATTCATGCCTCACCGTGTGTAAACGCTTGACAACAACCTCAGTTCAGAGGGATACTTGCCCATGAAAAGTAGGTGAATATGAAGTTTTTTTGCAAATATCGAGTCAAAAGGGTAATTTTGCTTGTTGGGACTATGAAATTATATCAAAATATCAGATATACTGAGACATCCATTTCGAGTTAAATCTTGAATAATGATAAATTATGAAGGATTTTGCCGGGACCGAGATGTTATATCGAGACAACTGAGATATAGAGTTATCAGAGATTGGCACAACAGTGATCGGCTGTAGAATACTGTGGGATGATGTGACAAGTCTTATGTATTGATAGTAGGAGTATACTTGCTGTATGGGTCCTGAAACGTCAGCAAGAGAATGGCAAAGTTGACATAACTAGAGTGGTAAGTTAGGAATATGCAAATGATGGATTGTACGTAATACATTTGATACTGATGTTTTTTCAACTGCAATCTTTAAATCTGAATTTCCTATCAGGGTGTATCCATACCTGTGCCGGGCCCTCAAGAACTATGCCAAGGACTGGGGCCAGATCCCCCCTGCCAAGGAATTCTATGTCAGCTTCACGGACGTCCCCACACGACTCAAGTGAGTACAGATCACAACTGATTTGTCAGTGTGACATTTGATAACCGTTGTCATCTTTTCAAAGATATATCATATCACATGTTCATAATTAGGATGGCTTGTAGTGTTGGAAATTATTCGTCATTGATCCACCATGGGTGGAAGTGGGAAGTGTTAACATGGTTAACTCTTTCAACACCAGTCAACCAGAGGCATTTACTGCCATGACACCGAGTTCCCAGAGACTCTGAGGTCATAGATGAAGCCTATGTTTATGAAGGAAATTATAAGCTTGTAAAACGTTATTGCTACTACATCCCATACACCATTTAAAAGATCTAATCCTACTGTTGATAAGTATTAAGTTTATTTTTATAATATTATTCAAATAATACAACTACAACTTAAATAAATGTATTTTGAATGAAAATGCAAGCTTACATTTATAACGTCCAGATAAACCACGAAAGAAGCAAAAACTATGGCAATTTTTTTCCATTTGTGACATGTCATAACATGCCCCGTGCCTTTTCTTTTATATTTTCATTTTTACGTCATCAGAAAATTATTATAAAAAGATTTCTTAAATAATATGTATGGTCGCCTATTTCCCGATATCTGTGGCTTTCCGCTCGGTAACATGACATAACAACGGAAAATACCTCCGTTTTCGAAGCTTCGTATGAATAACATGTGAGGCGAATCGTTTGATGTCGGGCATCGTTCGAAAGCTCTGAACATCAACAATATCACTGTACCCTTGCCAAGAGTATTTTCACTGTTGTAAGAAGCGATTTTATTGGATAAAGATTGGTTTCTGAACATATTAAGAAAGAAATCGCTACCTATACGTAAATTATGGAACTTATCGGACGTATCGTGCTAGGTTATGACCTGTGACAAAAATGCTTCATGTATGTATTTTCGCATTAAACATCGTGTCCGAGCGTGAAGATTGAGGCGGCGAGAGCCGAGATGTCACTTGTCAGTGACTTGACTTACATTACATGATCGCACAAAAAGATGGAAATAGTAATTTTATATGTACCTTTGACAACTTTTATGAATGTTGTTGATTTTATTCATTAGTTTATTCAATGTATTTAATGAATTTCTCGAAACATCGTTACTTTGCTCTTTGACAATGTTATAGTGGACCCGCTGCCAAAGCATGTGTCCGAGAATCGTTGTTTTCAATAACATTGCGAAAAATAGTTTATAATTTTAATTCTGCTGATAATATATGATAAATTGAAATTTAATAAGTGTTTTCAGACATTGTGAAATGTGATAGATTTAATATATGAATCAAAAGTCAGGTAGGTTCCTAAAATTATGTCTCATTTTGACGTGACTACTGCCTGGCCGCTTAAGCGGCCTCCGGTGTCTGCGGACTCGAAACGTTGTGGCCGCTTAAGCGGCCTGCGGTGTTGAAAGGGTTAAGTCTGTTTTCTGTCTAGCTGACATTGCAAATTTTGAAGTGTTGCTGTATTTTCCTTCCATACCCTATCAAAGGTTAAAACCAGGTGTACAACTGATTCCTTCAAAATTGTCTTACTCTCAATTCATTGGGATAAACACTTGTAATGGAATACTTTCCAGAGTAGATGTAAAGCCATTCTGTCTTCTCCATGAACTGGGAATTTTGTCGGAATACTTTTCAAAACCCAGTCCAGAATTGAATCGTCATATGAAACTAGTACAGTCAAACCTGAGAAAGCTGCTTTCTGACTGGCCAATAACACCTTCATTTTAGTCGTTTCAATACCTATCTCCGAATTACCTGAGGCTTGTTCATTCTTCAGGAATTCTAAGCTTGTGGTTACAGATTTAAACAGCAAGAATGTTTTCAGTCTTGTCTTTATTAAATTTCATAAACCTGAAAAGCATGCAAAAGGAACATGGCTCTTAAAATTTTAATGTGCATGTGAAAGTTTGAAATGCCCTGAAGGAAAATATTTTGAAGAGCTAGATGGCAATATGTCTAAGCTTGGAGCTGCGTCTCCCCAGCTCATCAATATGTGAACAGATGCTGATTGTTCTGCTTGATTACAGAGTACGGGAGATGACGACGGCCAAGATCGGAACTATGCTGCGTATCACAGGTCAAGTCGTCCGAACCCACCCTGTCCACCCAGAGCTAGTGTCTGGCACATTCATGTGTCTGGACTGTCGGACTGTCATGAAGGACGTAGAGCAACAGTTTAAATACACTCAGGTATGTGCAGTTTAATTCATCCTGATTTAGTGTGATGGATACAGGTATTTGAAATTACACACATTCTTTAGCTGCTCTAGAAATTTGATTTGTGCAGTGTTCCAATCAAATTACATGACATACAGTAAAATTGCACCACTTTATCACAGTGCCAGAAACAATGGCATCTACGAGCCTGGACCTTTCACGTAACATATTTTTCAATAAATCATCCTGTTTTGACTTTCATCAGCAGAAGTTACTAAATTGCAATATGTTTTCTAGACTGAGAAGCATTCTTAGGTGACGTCCATGTTGCATTGTTCGATCCTGAAATCAGTTGCATGATTAGTTGTAGCTTGTGAAGTGCACAGTTAATCAAGGGGAGGTAACTCTGATTTGCAGCCAACCATCTGCCGGAATCCAGTGTGCAACAACCGAACCCGTTTCATGCTGGATGTCAACAAATCTCGCTTCGTAGACTTCCAGAAAGTCAGGATTCAGGAGACACAGGCGGAACTCCCAAGAGGAAGCATTCCTAGAAGGTACAAGTCCCAAACGCTATGTTGAATATTTGGTGACACACTGTCTGACAAGTTGCATGCAGGAACTGTTTGACAATGATTGGGTACAACACCTCTTTTGTATCCTCATCTGGTTGTTGTAGCAGATAGAGTGTCTGCCCGGAGAAGTGAAGGTTGTTGTAGCAGATAGAGTGTCTGCCCGTAGAAGTGAAGGTTGTTGTAGCAGATAGAGTGTCTGCCCGGAGAAGTGAAGGTTGTTGTAGCAGATAGAGTGTCTGCCCGGAGAAGTGAAGGTTGTTGTAGCAGATAGAGTGTCTGCCCGGAGAAGTGAAGGTTGTTGTTGCTTCTGCTGGTCACGACACTTCGTATGGGTTTTGTTACCCTGCGTACCTGCGCTCATAATGACTGGATCTGTGTAAAACTACAGCATCTGATATCAGTGGTGGCACCATGGGAAACTGATGCTTGCTCAGTCTTGTACAAGCAGCTTTATAGTCCTGCATGCTGTAATATTGGTGCAATAACCTTAAGGCAATGGTAATTTCCATTTGGGCTCACCTTGTATGACAGACTAATGAGATGGAGGGTGGACTTTCAGTATCTACCAACTGCAATACACTCTTAGGTATTAAACATTTTCAATTTTGTAGTAAATGTCAGGCCTGTTATGGCTTAATGCCCATGATGTGTGACATGAATAAGTTACAAGAAAGGTTCTGAAAGCTGTCATCTGTTGTAGTGTGGAGGTAGTGTTGAGAGCTGAGTCTGTGGAGTCCGCACAGGCTGGTGACCGCTGTGACTTCACCGGCACACTGATCGTCATCCCAGACGTTGGCAGCATGTCTGTTCCAGGTCAGTAGAACAGGGTTTTCTTTTTTGTCGAGGTTCATCATCCCCAAGTTTAAGTTCTTCAGACATGGATGTTCACAACTTGGAGAGTGAACCACATTGTTTCCGCAACCCTTTCACAAATCACAAGAATTATGAAGCCTTAACTACTGAAATGTGTCGTGCTCAGATAATTGACTCAGTGAGCAATGTAACCTCTTGATTATTTTGTTTTATATTCAGAGGTTTTCATTCATCAATAATTCTTATGTTCTCTCCCACGGCAATCTTGATCTAGGTCTTCTTCTACGAAGGCATTGTCTAATATTGAATTCTTTATTGTAATTCCAAATAAAGTTCCTGAAAATATCAGGAATAGAATTTCATGAGTAATAGGTTTGAAGCGGTAAACTGCTGTATTAGTAGAACCACTGTATTTTGCCTTCGGTTCGGTATACAGTTATGCAATCCCCAAATTCGGTATATTTGGTTTTCTAACCGACATTTATTAACCTTTTAAAACCTTTT